CTATGTGTGTAGATTTCTAAATAGGTAGATATGTGTCTATGCAGTGTCCTCGTCATTTGACCCTCGGGCCATGAGGGCTTCCAAAAGTGTTACGTAAATGTGAATCACCCAGAAAAAGCGTTCACCAGTCGGGCGATCGCTCACTATGCTAATGTTTGCCTTGGACATTTTCAAAGGATTGTTAAAAGCCGAAAAAAGCAAACGTCCTTGGATCAGTTCCTAACAAAACGCCAGGCAAAAACCACTTCTGAGAGAGAACATGAACTAAAGAGGGCAAAAAATGACGAGGACGCAGTTAAAGGTTCAATGACCATCATGTTTTTTCTTTACTCGATTCATTGTTTTTTTACATTCGCACAATTCTCATTTATTGTGCAATAATCAATAACGTGTATTTATTCCATATTTTGATGCATTTTTATGCTTTAGAAAACATTTATGTCTAAATTTTGCGGGGCTTCGAACGGATTAGGGCGTTTACATGGAAAACGCGTCTCTACTTACATTTTCTCATTCAGAAATTCCTTCCAGAACCAATTAATTTCGTAAGTAGAGGTACCACTGTAATTTGCTATAATGTGGCTGCAGGAAGTCGGCCCTCCGACCAACTTTCAACACAGTGCTTTGTCGACAAAGTGTGAGAAATGTCTTTGTATTCTGAAAGCTCTTTTGTGCGAGGCGTGGTTCACACCTGGCCATGTTCTTTGTGGAAAGAGAAAACTCCACCACTCAATCTCATCATGTTGATTTGTATTTGGTTGACTGACACCCGATTAGCGCTTGGAGACCAGTCAGAAGGGCTTATAAAAGTCAAGCTCGATTTGGTATTAATGACCTCGAAACGGCTTCAGCGGTGATCCATAGCACTGCTGCAATGTATTCAAGGATTCCATTCAAGCTGAGGTTAAATATCACCTGGTGTCAAGGTCGCTGTGAAACAAAACACACCTTGGCAGGAGTATAAAAATTCATTTTGGGTATAAAGCAGGACTCAGCAGAATTTTCTTAGAAATGTCCGGGAAGCTCCAGTGAATTATGCAGACATAAAAAGTGCCCCCAAGACAACAGATCCTCTTATCTGAGGCTCTTCCTCTAAGTAATTTAATAAGATACCAACGCGATTCTGAAAATGGACTTACTCGTAGAACCAGCAGCTGTGGGGAGCAGGTTGTAAATATCTGTCGTTAATCTCACCTTCACCTCATGGTCTCAGATCCAAAAGAGAGGAAAAAACATGTCAGTGCCTACATTTGTGATTAAAAAAAAAAAAAACCCTCCAATGTTGAATTCAGTAAAGTTCACCCGATGCTTTTTTGGCGGGGGTAAAATATGCTTTCTACATTCTGTAAATGTGGGGCATCAAACTGCATGACGCAAACCGTCGACGTGCCTCACTGGACCTTATTTCTGCCAGCATCAAAGGATTAAAACTGAGTGTGTCTTGTGAGCCTTTGTCACACTTTCTCCTCACAGAAAGATGATAGGAAGATAAGGTGAGCGAGAAAGAACATTGTCCACCGGAAGTTCCTCTGATGTAAGACTCCAGAGATGTCGAACAAATTTTTTGTGCAGTATGACCAAGTATTGAATGCCAGGTCAAAATGATGGCTGGTAACTGTCGATGACCACCTACAGATCTGTGAGCTCCTGAGATAGCTTTATATTATCCGGCCATAGAGGTCTGCTTGCAGTTTCTTATATACACATTTTGCATGTTTCTTCTTTTGACATGTGAAAGACGATCAGTGCGCCACACATGCGACGCAAATGAAGTCTGCTGTCTTCACGCCCACAACGGCGCATCTGCAAAAATACCAAGAGTCGGTCTAACTCGCCCCCAAGCAGGTTTACAATGCACCTCATGCCACACTTGTGCTGGGCATGAAAATAGAGACCTATACGTGATATTGTTTGCTTTTCCACAAACGTCATTCGGCACCAAATTGTCATTATTTGTGACCGTTGAGATGTAGATGCTTGCGCCAAATTAACAATGGTGGCCAAACATCAACAGGAATTGTTGTAGCATCTTTAATTTTCATTATCAAAAAAAACAAACTGTTAGTGTTATTATTTTAGGATATGGCAGATCATAAATACAAAACATTTCAACGTATCAGACTTTGCTGATGAAACATTTTTTTTCCATGGTAAAATCAGTACGACTAAATTTCATATTTCCCAGTAGAACCTGGGCTCTCTTTGAGAAATTAACAAATGGATTGTTGTCACTATTAAAAAAAAAAAAAAAAAAAAAAACAAAGTACAGTGTTATAAAAATAAATTAGCATATAGTCTCAGATGTTAGCAAAATCTTTTACAGCGTTTTGTTTTGATAATTTGGACCGTGTGTTATATGCACCGTACAGCCTACCTGCAGATCCCAAGCAGTGTTTGCTATTAATTCACCTGATTCAAGGAAGTTGACCGTCAAACTGAAAAATGGCTGCACTATGTTTACCACTTGGCCTCAGGATATTTAAAAAAAAAACAAAAAAAAACAATAACAGTAAAGAACAAGCTTTGTTCTCCAAGAAAAAAAACAAATTGTACATATGACAATAATATAATTCATGTTATGAACATATTCATAAGGCTGACACATTGCGAGTTGGCGACAATGACATCCGTCTGTCTGCATGACTGCTTTTAACAACGTCATCATTATGTCGATCTTGTGATTGAATGCCACAGTGCTAAAAGCAACTCCTCCAAATAACGAGAAGCCTTTCTTGACACATGAAGTCTTGATATGTACTATATGTACTGTATACATTTTTGGTGTGCTGGTCAAACTTGCCACAGTAGATATGCTGAACAAGGTACAGTCGAGCCTCGTTTCAAAGTCCCCCGTTTACGTTTTCACCGCTGTAACGTTTACATTTCAAAGTCCCGATTTCACGAAATTCATTTTCCATTTGCCGATTTTTGCTGAAAACGAACACTTTTATAACGTAAACTTCATGATAACGACCAGATTTTTCCCACAAAATAGTGAAAAGGCTTTCGTTACAACGAACCGCGGGACGCTAACTGCCACGGCGGCCTTGCTTATAGACAAAATGTAGAGCACGGGATTTCCCCTCCGCAACACTTCCGACCGACTCGTAGGTTGTTGTATTTTCGTAGTCACGGCGCGGTCCTGAGCACGTGCTCTGAAAACATGTCGGGTAAACGGAAGCAAATGTCCCTGTCTTTGAAGGCTGAAATTGTCTCTCACTTTCGAAAGGGAGTCTTCCAGACAACGTGCAGCTGTGACTACGAATTGGCAAAGTCGACGATTTTGACAACCATCTGTAGGGGCAACAACGGCAGAGTTCGAGGCCAAGAGATGATCGTAAACGGCTTCGGGGTGTGGCACATCCTCAACCGATGACAGTTGGCTTTGTCGGCGGCCCTGGAAGTTGCCTGTGGCGGGTAACATTTGCTGACTGAATGTTATCAGAGATGCGGTACGAACGCTGCAGTGGTTTGCTTCATGTCTGATAAAATCATTTTTTTTCTCCACATCCACGTATTTGTAATTGACATGTTATTACTGAAATTACTTTTTCATGTTTTGACACATATAAATGTTGATACTGAATTATACGTTGTAGTTGGCCGCCATTTTATTGGAAATGGTTACAAGGAACTGCCGTTATGTTATTCGTTATGTCCCTCGAGGCGTATCGTAACGAGGTTCGACTGTGTGATGGAACAGGTCATGAGAATTTCATAAGATACGTATTTGAAAAATCAAGCACGATCTCCATTTGAACTATTCTCCAGCAATATTGGTTTACTGTCACGCAGTTGTTTTGAAGTCATTTTCCATTATTTACAGCGAGGGAGAATTCCTACTTTGTCTTGTGGGAATTTGCTCCAGTCAGGACCACGATCCTTATACACTATCCTGGATCGGAGAATTAGATTTCAAATCCAGATACAGTATAGTAGAGATCATGTCGATATCCAAAGTGCAAGACATCAATTGTGGGGAAAATAATTTTTAAAAATGCAATACGATCCCAAAACAGAATGCTTTTGGATGAAATGAATTCATTCCGTGTGAGCAATACCGATGACAAGCTGCCTTCCATTTTGCCTCGTCATCCGAAGTGAAATCAGCTCATCAGAAAAACCCGCAGACAAGAATTTTTGCACTCTGATGATCAATATGATGATCAACAAACTGGATCTGCAATGAAGAGTTTGCAGGTGAATCAAAGGACACAAAATGTAATCAATAAATCAAAGGGGCACAGTGTGTGTGTGTGTGTGTGTGTGTGTGTGTGTGTGTGTGTGTGTCTACAGTACTGTACACACACACACACACACACACACTGTGCCCCTTTGATTTATTGATTACATTTTGTGTCCTTTGATTCACCTGCAAACTCTTCATTGCAGATCCAGTTTGTGTGTGTGTGTGTGTGTGTGTGTGTGTATACAGTACTGTATACACACACACACACACACACACACACACACACACACACAGTGTACATGTGCTTCTTCCCTTTGGACGCTAATATTGCTCCGAGTTTTCTGTCATATTGTTCTTGTATCACTTAAGCTGCGCTCTCTCCCTCGGACATCCAGTGTGAGCAAGCATGCACATCTCATTCTGTACAGCAAATATTCTCTCAACCGTTCACCGGACACGCATGGCATTTGTGAAACAAATCATTTTCCCATTTCACCGCAGGTAAAAATCTCCGCCAGCTCACAATCTACATACTGTATATTGTTATGTCGAGTCAGGTAACGGGTTGAAGAGATTGGATTCTTCTTTGCCAACGGGCTCCTTTCCAGAGTCTGAAAGGTGGTGGAAATTAATTGATGGGCTCTATCATGCCCACACACTTAAATATTTAAATATAGCTATTAAAGTGACTGCGAAAATATCGAGTAACTTGTTTGCAAATTGCATATTCATTTCAATATTCTGCCACTCATACTGACTTTCAAAGTGCGAATACATGTCTTCAAAATCCAATTACTTTGGCTCTCTTAAATGTTTTTTTTTGTTTTGTTTTTTTAACAGCAGACCATTGAAAAGTAAACCTGTTTTTTGAAGACATCAATTAAGAGCAGATTGTATCTTGTGTGCAGACACACAATGAAATCGATCTGTATGAGAAAATATACTCTAATTATGATTGATAAATATAGATTAAGGTGGCACGTTACAAAAATTCTCTTCAGGGCATGAAAGCGGGAGACCATGTCCTTTTACATACGAGGTGAGGTCTCTTTCGGTTTCCACGTGGTTGCAATGCCCGTGTGTCCCGCACGGTGTGGATTCGGTGCATGTTGGAGCGCCACATGTCCTCATTTGATAAATAAGGTTAGAATCGAGTTTGTGGGGTTGAGCGCCGCAACCGTTACGGTGCAAGGAGCAGATGTAACCAAGGCATCGTCATGGCGACGATGGATCCAGTCATTCTGATGCTCCCGGATCGGACCTTCACCTTATAATCCTCGATAGGTGGATGATGATGATGATTGTGACCACTTGACACATCTGGATTTACTGAAAGGAGAGCACAAGTAAAATCATTTTAGGATGTGCTATGACCAACGCAGAACAAAATATCTGCGTCACGCTTGGATGGTGATGGCAAATTGCTGTTTTAAATACATTTCTACCCAATAAAGGAGCAATGCATCCGTCCATATACATACAGTGTATATATATCCCGTCCTGCTAATAGAAATGTGTGTCACAGGCTATGACGCAAAAGTTCATTGACAGAAATGTTGACGTTTAATTTTATTCTACATATTTTTACAGCATCGGGAAATGTTCAGGATGTTTGTGTCATTTTTGTCCTCCACCAGAAACCATTTTAAAACAAAAAATAGATTTTTTTTTTTCCATTTTCAAACATTTTTGAAAAAGCTCCAGGGAGCCACTAGGGCGCCGCTAAACAGCTACAGGTTGCCGACCTTTTCTTACAATATGATACAATACGTCCGGATTTATATCGCGCCTTCACAACAAAGCGCTTTCCAAAACAGTCAACATAAAATAAAATAATACAATAAAAAAACAAAACAATAAACACAACACATAACATCAAAACACGGTCAGTCGTGCAATCTGAACCACTTTTCCCTCCTACGCTTTGTTGTTTGAAGCAGTTCTTTCTTCCAAACAACTTCCAGTTTTTGGAAATACTGCACTGAACGTTTCGTCGAGATTGCGGATGATTTCGTCATGGAGAAAATTTGGCAAGCTGTACAAGATTGTTGACATGAGTCGACAGTCCTAGAGCCAATCAGAATGTATCACACAATAGACTGTAAAAAAAAAAAAAAAAAAAAAAAAAAAAAAACGGGGTCCGGGCAGCAGCGTCGTGTTTTTGCGAGGGGTTACTGTATGTCACACTGCACGGGCAACGGAGCATCAAGACATTTGCATCGTCTGACGTCGCCATTAGCGTCTGCTTTTTAGAGTGCATCCTGCTCGCAGAAAGATCTTAGTTGGGACAACTGCACCACGTGAGCTGTCGCCATCCATCTTTCTGTTTATACTTTTCTGGAAGTCCCAAGTGCGGCGGGAGGACATTCACAGAGCCCTTCCAAGCCAAGTGTTGCCTTTCGTTCTGCTGATGTTTCCTCAGGACACCTCGGTCTTCATCTGGTCCATCCTCACAGAGGAGGGGCAAGGCCAGCTGCTCGAGGACTTTGGAGCCGCGCACTTAAACCCGAGCGTCACAAGTCTGTCGAAAGGAGGATTACTCTTCCCCCCGTACCCTTTCAGAGTCAATAAAGGCTCTGTTGGAAGAAATGAGACCAGCTTGGGAAGCTTGGCATTCAATCTTCACTTCTACTTTGATGGGAATGCCGGTCATTCCAATCTCCGACGGAGAGTCCACAATCCATTTCATTTTGCTTTTGGACATTGACTTTTGATTCTGGGATAATTCCGTGACATAAATTGTCATCCCCAGAATAAAACGTGATCACCGCAGCATCTGAATGTGGCCTGAAATCGAACACCTATTGATCCACCATGAAACAGTCCCCGGGACAGCTATTTGAATGGATAAAGCTCAGAGATGGCATCGCGGGAAGCTGTGAACATCCACATCTGTTATTGATTTTTTTTTTGTTTTGTGACCAAAGCTTAGGTGCCTCCAATATACTGCGCAGCCAGACAAAATGTTTAATTTTGGGATGAATTTATTTTTCCAGCTTTGCGTCCTTTTTTTACCAGCCAAATAACTCATGACACACAGTGAAACGAATACTTGGAGGAGAACAGCTCTCACCTCGCAAAGTCATTATGGAGTCAATTTATAGTATGATGACTTCATTTGGCATGTACATGACAGGTGACCTATTCAACGAAAGAAAAAAATGATATTGGTATTCTGTTGGAGCGCATTCAAAATGGAGCTCGTCGGCTCACTCGACTCCAGTTCATGTCGCGCATTCACAACAGCAACCGCAAATGTAACAAAGCGTTGCAAATAAAACAGTTCCCTGAGATTAGCAGTTTGAAACTGTGAGTAGATGAGAGAAGCAAGAGTGAACTCCCCATGTGGCCAGTTTGGGGGGCTGTCAGCGTCATAGATGTCGCAACCCCATGACGTCTCAAAAGCTCAAATGAGTGCATCCGTTTAGCTCGCTTTGTTTAACAGAACCATTTCGCATGTTTGTTGGAAAGCAAGTGCGGTCAACCCAGACGCTGAGTGGTTAGGATGATTGAAAAGGTTGCTTGGACAATGAGGCTCAGTCTGAAGAGAGACATAGGTCAGAAAGAGAGGCTTACAACTGAAGTGAAATCAATAGCCGCTGATTCCTGAGGACTTGGACCACAAAGGATCAATACCGCACTAACTGCCGTAGGGGGAAAAAAACACTTAAAGTCATGAAAAGTTCCTTCTGTGTGGTTATGTGAGGGTCAGTGTTACAATACGTGCACAGACTTCCGCCATATTGAGCTGTTCGAATCCAGTACGCCGAGTCACAGTATGCCAATTTCAAAAATGGCCTCCACCGCTTCATGGATGGATGCATTTTGAAAGACGCGAGCATCAAGTTGCTGTATTTGTTTCCCACATCCCTTTCAATCTCACATTTAGTTTAAATATAGACATGTAGACAAAAGCAAAACAGAGTTTCGTAGCTAAGCGACTCAGTCAGTTGCCGTCGTCATTATTTTTCGCAGAGGATAAGGAATACCTCACGACTGTGAGTACTGTAATGTTGTCTGTGTTCGTACGTTATTGTATTGTTTGTCTTCAAATACCGTATTTGCCAACAGTAAAAGACGCACTGGATTATGAGGCGCACCTTCAATGAATGGCCTATTTTGTCATTTTTTTCATTCATTGGGCGCACCGCGTGATAAGATGCAATCTACAATGCATCCACTAGATGGAGCTACGCTCAAGGAAACGCCAACAAAACGATCAGATGTCAGTAAAACTTATTTAATAAGGCAGCGACACAGTTCACTTAACCAACAGCAAGTTATAACATTGACTCGTTAATGGTGAACTCTTTTGCCGCTGCTCTATTTCCGTGTTCAACTGCGTAACCGATCGCCTTAAGTTTGAACTCTGCGTTGTCAGCATGTCTCGAGCAAGGAGCCATTTTGGGGTCGAACTATTACCGTAATGACCATACACAAGGCGCATCGGATTTTAAGGCGCACTGTGAGCTTTGAAGAAAATGGAAGGCTTTTCGGTGATGCGGAAAATACGGTAGCTGTATCTTAAAGAACTATAACACCGTAACAGAGATGCTGTTTGTTAGCTTGTATTTTGAGTTAATGGAATTTCCTAAGGCAAAGTGACGTGGTGGTTGCACGGATCCAAACTATCTCAAATTTGGATTTCGGGCATCGGTCTACGGCTTCGCAAATCCTGACTATTTTTTTTAGTTGAACATGTTTTGGACAGTAAGCCTTCTGTCCAACACGGCTTCCGCAATCCCCAATGCAAAGCGGTGTACAAGCCCGATGTCGACATCTTGAAGTCTCTTTTTTGAATAAATGCCCTCTTATTGCCAAACTGCTGCCTGCTGCAAAGTGAGTGAAGTTGAGGGAGAACTATGCCATCACCTTGTGCTCATATTTAAATGTTTTACTTGCAAGTCAAAGAAAAAAAAAAAAAAAGCTGTCTGGCGAAGACCCGTATCTCATAAAAAGAAATGCCGGGTTACTTGCAAGTCATGTCCAGCCTGCTGAAAACTCCAGCCTGAGGGAGGACCCTCACTAGCATTTGACCATCATGATTTGAGTGTGATTTGACATTATCAGACTGCTGCTGCCAGAAATTAAGCCTGCAATAAACCCTCAACGCTGAGAGAAATCTTTTCGGTCTGTGCTGAACAACTAAAGTTAGAAAGATTACACAGGCGTGATTAAGGAGAGGCTGCAAAACCCAACAATTCACTTTTCTAATCCTGTGTGTGTGTGTGTGTGTGTGTGTGTGTGTGTGTGTGTGTGTGTGTGTGTGTGTGTGTGTGTGTTTGGCAAGTTGGGTCTGTTTGTGTGAAGTGGATCCTGAAAGCCTTCTTTGCACCCCCACCAACTTTCCCTGAGATTTTTTCCCCCCCCGTCACCTATTTGTAGAAACATTGGTAGGTTTGTCTTGCTCCAACACTGAAAAGATACTTTGCAAAAATGGGCGATGCGCTTTGTGATTGAAAAAAAAAAAAAAAAAAACAAGGAAGAAGGAAGAAATCTGCCATGCTACAGCGCTGGAATGTATCAACATTTGGAGGCAGACTGGAGTGAAGAAAAACAAGAGCAGCACTTCTCTTTTATCTACGGCTTGATAAATTGGAGCGCAGATCAAGAAATACGGTTTGGAGCACACTACAATCACGGCAGACAGAGCGCTAACGTGCAATTTGTGTTCAGTGGTTTGTGTTCAAGGGTCAATACAAACACGGCTTGTGAATTTAGCCTCGGCTCGTGACATCGCAACTTCTTCTGGGCTCTTTGGCGGGTGCAATGGATCATCCTTGATCCGCTTTCCATATTAATCGCTCTCCATGCGCCGTTCGGTAGGCATAAGTGGTGAAATTAAAAAAATAAAAAAAAAAGCTGTGCATATTGACGCAAAGCAGCATGTTTTGAGGGTTGCAGAGGCAAGAAGCGACACCGCAGGCTGTCTGTGATCTACTGTCTGCAGGGAGACTGTCAAAAAATGCCAAAAAGTCATTTTGTGTTGAAGGAAATATGCAAATCTTTATCATTTGTGTACCTTCAACGTGTGTACGTTGTTTATTCGGTTATATAATGTTTGAATCGTCGAATATACGTGATTTGCATATTGCAGCGGCACGTGTGGCCGGAGAGGCGTTGTCAGCGTCAATGACGAGTGAATAGGGTCATTTAAATAAATGACACGTGCTTGTTGACGCTTTGTTGTGATTAGCCATCGCGTGTTTGAGCAAAGTGGTTTGGAAATGGAAGAGGACTCTGCGTTGAGAAAGTAAAATGAAGGGGATCGAATTGGAAATGGAGAATTGAACCTTTCTTTCTGTACCGTATTTGGAAAGGCCACAATA